GGGGCCGGGAGGGGGGCAGTAGAGTTTCCCTGGTGTTGGCCAGAGTGGCCACCAGGGAAACCTGGGGAGGGCTAGCCTCCCACTAGTTCGAATTAAGGGGCTACACACCCCTTAATTCGAACTAGCTAGTTCGAACTAGGCTTAATCCTCGTGGAATGAGGATTACCTAGTTCGAACTAAGCGCTCCATTAGTTCGAATTAAATTCGAACTAACGGAGCGCTAGTGTAGCGCCTATGAAAGTTAGTTCGAACTAACGTCCGTTAGTTCGAGCTAACTTTGTAGTGTAGACATACCCAGAGTGAGCACAACCAGACTGGTAATTTAGCTGAGGATTTCAGCATAATACACATCTCTCACATGCTTTTGCAATAAAACCAGAATAAGTTTATTCACAAAGAACAGATATTTAAGAATAGAAGAGACAAAGATATAGTTGTAAACAAAGCAAAACACACTTTTTAATGACAGTCTTGATTTCAGAAAGTTACTAGCATTCTCTAAGCAGAATTCTCATCTAGAGTCAGTTACAGATGCTCTTGTTTTTTTGGCCACTTTCTGTGGTTCTTAGGACACTGCTTCCCTTCATTCCTGATACTCAAATGGTTTTTTGCTTCAGCTCATTGTTTTGGCCCCAGCAGCAGGATGACCTCCTGCTGTTCTTCCCTTCCTGTTCACTTCTCATCCCCCTGCTGATTTGTATGTAAATGGAGCTTCCATTATTTTGATTCTATAATACTTAACTTACATAGAAGACAGGTAGATAGCTAGCTGCCTTCCCTCCTGTCTGGGAGAACACCTGTTTCTCCCTTTTGTTTGGCCATAGGCTTTGAAGCTTAACACCAGTAAGTATTCCCCAGTAAGTATTCATAAGTGTTCATACATACATTTCACAATTATATTAATCACCAGTGTCACCAGCTTGCATAAGGTTGCCAGTTCTCCTGCACCAGATGCCATTGCCACAAATGTGTCTGGTCAGGAAAGCTGGCAACCCTAAGCTTTCATAAAAGATCTTACTTGATATGTTTTTATAGTGCTGTCATATTGACTATGATTAGTTGATTTAATTGCTTCTTCTTTGGGCCTCAGTTCCCCTCCCCCCCCCCCCCCCCCCCC